ATAAAACGATTCTCGAGTTTTATAAAACGATTCTCGAGTTTTATAAAACGATTTCTCGAGTTTTATAAAACGATTTCTCGAGTTTTATAAAACGATTCTCGAGCTTTATAAAACGATTTCTCGAGTTTTATAAAACGATTTCTCGAGTTTTATAAAACGATTCTCGAGTTTTATAAAACGATTCTCGAGTTTTATAAAATGATTTCTCGAGTTTTATAAAACGATTTCTCGAGTTTTATAAGACGATTTCTCGAGTTTTATAAAATGATTCTCGAGTTTTATAAAACGATTCTCGAGTTTTATAAAACGATTCTCGAGTTTTATAAAACGATTTTTCGTGTTTTATAAAACTATTCCTCGGGTTTTATAAAACTGTTCTTTTTGTATTTTCGCGGGGAGTTTTGGCTATTAATTCCGTCGTACCGATTTTGACCCCAACAGTTAGCCCCCCAGCTCGTAAGAATCGTCAGCCTTTAGCGTAAGGTTCTTGCGAGTGGTTAACCAGTTTTAGTTAAGTTAGGCGGAATTAATGGTCGGAAAGGTCTGTTGAAAGTGATCTTTCCACTCTCCAGGGAGCGGAAAGCGTTTAAGATTAGGGCTGCGCCTTGTGAAGGCTGCCTACGTACCCTTTTGAGGGGATCAAGCCTTTCGTAGTTTGTTTCGGAGTTAAGGTTCGTATGACGTTTTTCCCGGCAAGACCTTTACGGTCTAGTTATATGTTTATCGAGCATAATGATGTCGATGGCATCTTGACCTTTGCCGGCCTTGAGACTAGTCTCGTAGGCCGTTTGATCTGGCCGAGCGTGGCCGTTATAGTTTTCGGACTGGCCGTGTGCGGCTCTGAGTCCCTGCCGCTTTTGCGGCTTTATTAAAAATCAGTTTGCGTTTTTAAGAGCGTGCTTTTATTCGTATGAATGTAGCGGGAAGAATATGCTCCCGAGTTTTATAAAACGCGATAAAACTCGAACGGTAAGTCGGATCGAGATGGAATGGGAGATATTTCGGCCGTGGTTTAGAATGCGACTTTTTCTAAAGACGTAAGTTTCGAATCGGGAATGCGGGAAATCGAGACGCGGAGTGTCCGGGAAGTCTCTAGTTCGCCCATCGGCGAATTAAGCCGGGCCCGGCTTAGTTCGCCGATGGGCGAACTAGTCGAGCATGTCCTAGTTCGCCCATCGGCGAACTAAGCCGGGCCCGGCTTAGTTCGCCGATGGGCAAACTAGAGAGTGCTTCTTAGTCCGCCGATGGGCGAACTAGTTGCGACTAGTTCGCGTTTTACGGCTTTTTCGGTTTTTTGAGGTTTTGTAAAACGATTCTCGAGTTTTATAAAACGATCTTTCGCCGATGGGCGAACTAGAGAGTGCTTCTTAGTTCGCCGATGGGCGAACTAGTTGCGACTAGTTCGCGTTTTACGGCTTTTTCGGTTTTTTGCGGTTTTGTAAAACGATTCTCGAGTTTTATAAAACGATCTTCGGATTTCATAAAACGACCTTCGAGTTTTATAAAACGATCTTCGAGTTTTATAAAACGATTTCTCGAGTTTTATAAAACGATTTCTCGAGTTT